GCGACAGGAAAGGTTCAAAGAGCACCATGATTGGTACAACATTAGACAACAGCTGAAACAGGCATTCTGTTACCCTATCAAGGCTGCGTTCTAGTATTTCATACTACCTGTCGTCTTTGGATTCACCAGCAACCTTTAGTCAGAGGGGAAGAGCATTGCTCCCAAATATTTGGTAAATCAAATGCAAGAGTTAATTGAAATTGAGAGTGTGTGTCATAGTCATATTTGTGGCTGAATTCTTGGGTCTTCCCAATGTCTGCCTCAACATTTCATTTTGTCTTTCTTTTCGTGTAATGGAATTGGTTAATGTTCCGTTGGACTGGAACGAAGACATGGAAAACACTTAAAGTAAAAACAAATATTTAGATAATTTTGAATAAGGTCCAGTTGCTAGAGAGTTGTTTTTGTTTTCCCTCCAGGAAATTAACACTACTTGGAAAACTTCCCACTGAGCTAATGTGCCTTTAACAGAGACAAGTTTTCACTACACTAATTTTTTGTTGTTGTTGTTGTTGTTGTGACTTTAACAAACAGAAATATAGTCTCTCACAGTTTAGAGTACCAGTTCTAGGGAAAGGCTTCCTCTCTTCATCAGCTGTGGGAAAAGGTCCTTGTCTCTGTTCCTCATCTGTAAACTCAGCGCTCCCTGGTGATCTCCACACATCTTGGCATCAATTTTTACCTGGATCTAGTAGTTTCATAGTGCAGACACTCCAGGTCCAAAGCATAAACTCCATTCCCGACTCTACTTTCTCAGTTGTAATAATAGGTCCCTATGATTTTTTTGTTTTTAATTATGGATTATATATGCTGAATGTTCAACTGAGGCTGTCTCATATATAGTTGCTCATCTACTCTTTTTTTTGTTACATTCAACTTCTGTTAAAGTGATATATTAATTTTAAATAAAACTGTTGCTTTGTGTCTACCATTGCCCCCAGGATCCCTGGTAGAGTAGTGGATTACAAGCTGAGCTGCAAGGAGAAAGATGAGGCTTTCTGCTCCCATAAAGACTTACAATCTCGGAAACCCTGTGCAGCGTTGCTGTGAGTCATCACTGACTTGGTGGCTCACCACCACCATCACTACTATTGACCTGGGCATTCCCTGGCTCTAAAGGGTCACATCAAAGATGAGTGCCGGCTTTGGACATTTATATTTCACCAGATATAGGTTCCAAGTGCTTACTAAGCACCCACCAGGTGCTTCTCTCTGCACTTTGTATGTTTTGTTTCATTCATTTTCATCGTATCTGCATTGTACCCATTTTACAGATAAGGATATTGATGCTCAGACTAGTGATGTCCCTTCCAAAGTCAAACATTTAGAGAGAGGTATAACTATGTTTTGATCTGAGTCCTATGTCAAAACCGACCCCTTTGGTGCTTATTTGCAACAGATTGACATCCTGGAAACCATACTGGCTTGCAGACACATATTAACAAATGTGGTTTTGGTGAAGATAGTGAAGATGATGGCTGACACTTGAATTATGTGTGCTGTGGGCTAGCCACAGTTCAGTGCTTTGCATACATTTACTCTTTCTATCTCCCACAGTTTTAGGAGGCATAGGTACTGGAATTACTCCTACTTGATAGATGAGGCAAACAAGTAAGTTGCCTCAATTAGTAAAAAGATTTTAACTCGGGCAATCTGTCTCCAGAAATATTGCTTTTTTTGTTGTTTTTAACAGTGAATTGAGTGATAGTCTACATTGGAGAACTTCAGTTTTACACTCATCCTATCATAGTTCATTTCGTTGCCGTAATTACAATCCCCTCCATGCATCATCGTTCAACAATGTTTGCTTCTATTCCCTCTATTTTTTTTTTTTTTTGAATGTACACAAAAACACTCAGAAATGTGTAATCATTTAAACAACATCAAAGGGCACATTCTTTTTTTTTTCAACGTTTCATTGTGAATTATGTGATAGTTTACATGGGAGAACATTAGTTTTACATCCATCCTATCGTATATCATTTCATTGCTGTGGTTAAAATCCCCTCCATGCATCATCAGCCAAACAAAGGGTATGCGCTACAAGCCTGCCCCCACAGTCATCAGCACACAGCCCGTCTCCCTTTCTGTGTCTAAAGTCCCCAACAGCTCCATCTCTCCACGTCATTGTCTCTGTCTCCATTTCAGGCATCACTGCTTCTCTGAGTAGGGTCCGCTCTCCACTCTTCTTCCTTGATGGTCCCAGGGACCTCCCCTCCTAGGCTGAAAGGTTAATCATTCCCCTCCTTGCTACAAAACGTCTGCCTTTACAATTCCAACCCTCACAAGCAGTCCTGATAACAATTATTCACTATTGTATCACAAGAGACCTATCTGCATTTCATTTCATCAGTCCCGCCGAGACAGATTGGATACTACTCAGTGGAGATTCTACCTTCCTCCATGCCCTCTAAATCTAGGTTCCCGCTTGAAAGCTTGTAAGCCAGTAACTTCTTGGCTTTGTAGCCCTCTTATTTTGGGTAGCCAATGTCCAAGTTGCCCATCTAAAGGGCACATTCTTTAAGCCTGCCTCCTGGCCACCAGCACACAGCCTTTCTCCTTCCATGAGTCTGGAGTCCTCAGCTGCTCTGTCTCTCCATGTTATCCATCTCTGCAGAGGCATTGCTTGTTGTAACCAATACATTTCACTTATTGCCTGTGCCACATTGCATTGTTTTTAAAGGAACCACAGTTTTAAAAAATAATTGGGAGATGTTGCATTCAAATACAGATTTTCACCAACAGTTGAGAAATTCAAAATATAGCAATTCTGAGTCCTCTTTTTTCTAGGTTCATTGTTTGCTCCCTTTGGACTGTGCACTCTTTCCAGGGCTTCATCGAACTCCTCTTTAGTGTCTCTGTTCTGGCATGGATGGACTTAAGATCTTGTACTCTGAGGCTACACCACATAGGCCTTTTGGCTAAGGACAGCAACCCTCCCAGAAGTCTTAAGATTCCAGTGATTTGGACACATGGGAGATTCAAGCCCAGAAGAGAGTAAACCCCAACAGAAATTAGGATATTTTAGCAATTGATTGCCTGTTTCATTTTTCCTTCATTTCTTCTGAGAACTATGTATGTTTTTGTTTTTAAAATGTAACTCTTGGACTACTTTAATCTCTATCACCTGCTGCTTGAGAGATATACCTTTCAAAGATATGCTAACCACAAGTATGTGATGGCTTCTAGAGAAATTTAGAACTAATCTTTTCATTATTTGAATTTGTTTTATTATTGTTTCGTCACTTCATAAATTTTCTCTCCTTTGAGTTGGCTTAATTTTCTTTTGGTTCCTTCAAACTTACAACTGTTTTATTAATTAAGATACTTGTATAGTAGTCCAAAAACCAAGTCAAATTGATTTTAACAGGAAAGGAGAGATGAGGGATCTCAGGCAATTGAAAAAGCCAGGTATAGGTTTGACTTAAGAGGTATAATGAGTGGTTCAGTCTATCTGGGCAACTTTCTCCCTATGAGCCCCTGCATTGCTTTGTGTGGACTTAATTCCCAGGCATGACTGGTCAAGCTATGTCACGAAAGCCACCAGAACCTATAGCATGAGAATTTATCAAGAGGCCACCTTTTGCTTTGGATCATGTGCTCATTCCTGAATGGATTTCAGAGGCAAGAATGGAGAGTGTGTCATGGGCCCACCTCAAGATCTAGAAGTGGGCCACATAGATTGGAGGGACATCTGAGTTGGTGGTAATAGAAGAAAAGAAAATGAGTATAGATAAGGAAAGATCATAGGGAGTCTCCTTAAAAGTGGTAGGCTTTTAGTGAAGGTTGTTGTCTAGTAAGCTTGGTATGTCCTCAGTAGCTTTTAGATTACCTTTAATCCTGTGTGTGTCGTTGGGAGCTACTCATCAGAGAAAGATTTGAAAGTGGCCTTTTATTATTCTTCGTTTGCTTTCAGTAAATAAGAAATGTCTTGAAGAGAATTACTCTGGGAGATCAGAAATGACTACATCCTCTGATTGTTATGTTTTAAAGCCCCATGGAGATTGACATTTAATATCATCGTCCTCTATAAAACGTCAGCTGAATGTCAGCGGTGCCATTTGTGAATACTTTGATGACATCACTTCTTGATATTTCTAGTTAATAAGAAGGTGAAGAAACTCATGTACTTTGAGGCTTCTCTGAAAATCCAAGTCAAGTCAGTGTGCCCACACAACACTGTTCTGGGGATAACTATCTTGGTTTTCACGGGAACATTCTCTTCCCTTTTCCACAAGAGGCTCGAATCTGACTCACTAGTATAGCTGTATCTATAGTCTAAACTTAAGTATACTCCCCAGCTCAAATTGAAAGTCTTTGATTTTTGCCAGTGCCTACCAAAATATGTTGTAAATAATTTATGCCATTCTATCTATGTTTCCATCCTGGACGTTTTCTTACTCCCCAAAGGCTTCTTTCTCAGTCAGAAAACAAAACAAAGTCTGTGGAATGAGAGAGTTCAACTCAGGTCTGTGTTTTGATGCTCTTCATAATTTTCACGTCTTTGGGGTTTGAGTCATGCATTTGTTTCTTGTTTGACATTTCCAAGAGTGTGAATAATGTATTTTTGAGTGTTTCTCTCCCCATTCTTTTTAGATAAAAGAATAAAAAATGTTTTTGATCAATTTTTGTGATGCTTTTTCTATCTAAAGGACATCCAGCTAAATGAAATAAAAGTTCATAGTCAGCGGTCAGCAATTAGCATGGATGAGAGCTCTTAAGAATTTATTTACTTAGTGTCATTTACTTAGTGTACTTCAGCAAGGAGTCCTGATGCCAGAGTGTTTAAGTGCCTAACTGCTAACCAAAAGGTTGGTGGTTCATACCTACCCTTCAGCTCCAATGGGGAAAAGGTGTGGTAGTGGTACTCTGTCAGATGAAGTTTCATGAGTTCAAGTCGACTCCATAGCCCCTAACAACAACTGCAGTGCACTTCACTGCTTTAGAGCATGAATAACTTTTCCCCTTCTTTTTCTCTCTCTTCCCCACATGATTAACAGCCGATTCTGGTGACCAAGACGAGCACACTCTCCAAGAGACAACGCTACCACCTGTGAATAGTAGCATCGTTGCTGCTCCCAACACGGACTCTTCTCAGAAGTTCCCTCAATACCTACCTCTTTCTGCAGAGGATAATTTAGGTCCTCTACCTGAAAACTGGGAGATGGCCTATACCGAAAATGGAGAAGTCTATTTTATAGAGTAAAGTATACCATTATTTCTACCTGAATCTCACCCTCTTTCTTTTCTCTTCCGTCTCTTCCTCCTGCAGCTACAGATGCGTATTCAATCTAAAAGGATTGGATTGATCACTTACTGAGGGTATTCTCTTACACAGTTTAGCAAACTTTGCACACACAAAAAAGGTAATAAGCAATAGCATACTAACTGCTGAGTTTGAAGAGAATGAGGAAGCATACAATTAATGCTTTTTCTAAAGGGTTAGATAACTAAATTATGACATGTAAATGAATAATATATACAGAGTGTATGGTGGTCGTGGTGGTGTGCTGTGAAGTCATTTCCAACTCAGCAACCCTGCATAGGATTTCCAAGGCTGCTCTGGTAGCGTAGTGGTTACGAATCAGGCTGCGGGCAGCAAGGTCAGCAGTTTGAAACTACCAGCTGTTCCATGGGAGACAGATGAGGCTTTCTGCTCCCGTAAAGATTTACAGCCTCGGAAACCCCGTGTAGGGTCGCTATGAGTCGGAACCGACTCCGCGGCACATAACAACAACAACAAATCTTTTTGGGAGAAGAAAGCCTCGCTATTTCTTGTAGAATGGCTGGTAGTTTCAAACTGCTGACCTTGAGGTTAGCAGCCTGACTCATAACCACTATGCTACCAGAGCTCCTTACAGCGTATATATGGTCATTAAAAATAAGCCCTTTTATTATTAATTTTTAATAAACTGCATTGTAGTAATCTCATTCTTTGGTTTGAAATAATCTTTACTTACTCTGGCTTCAGTTATTTATCATAGATGTGATTTATATACATTTTCTCCAAGTCTGACGTTTCTTTCCATTGTTTTGTGTCTTTTGAAGAGCACAAGTTCTTAATTTTGGTAAAGCCTCAATTTGTCAATTTTTGATTATGTTGATTGTGACTTTAGTGTAGTAGTTAAGAAATTTTGCCTAAACTTAGGTCATAAAGATTTTCTGCTATGTTTTCCTTTGGGAGTTTCATATTTTACATTTAGATACATGATTCCTTTTAAGGTAACTTGTGTACACAGTATAAGATGTATGGATTGAAGTTTAAGCATATATAGGTGTGAAAAGTCGTTCAAATTTAGGAAATGTTGTTGTTGTTGTTGTTGTCAGGTGCCATTGAGTCGGAACCGACTTATAGCAACCCCATGCACAGCAGAACGAAGCAATGTCCGATCCTGGGCCAACCTCACTATCGCTGCCACACTTGAGTCCATCAATGATGCCACCTGGCTGATCCATCTCATTGGGGGTCTTCCTCTTTTTCTCTGACCCTCCACCTTACCCAGCAT